CCCAGTCAGGGCTCCCCTAAAGAGTGGCTATCTTGGTAGAAATAAACTGGACACTGTTCATTTAAGAGCACAAGAGCATCTGCCAGTATAGACACGTTTCCATGAGAGAACACCTGGTCGCATGTAGGACCCTTCTGCATTAGTCCTAAAGACCAGGATAAAGAAGTAGCTTGTGAAAGGCACCCTATTAACACCCACAACCAACCAGATCCCTGGTTCCCATCAGGAAAGAACTAGAATCTATAGCCACTCTTATGAGAGAGACCTCAAGACAAAATTAGAGCAAAATACATCTTTCTGTCTTCTAGTTATACTAAAGGCAAATTTTGTTTTGTTTTGTTTTGTATTGTTTCCTGTTTTGTTTTCTTAAGGATATTTGCAGTGTTTCAGGTTTGTTTTAATTTTATTTTTAATCCTTACAAACAATACACCCTATCCAATTGTGATTTCACCCTGGAAGTTTATACAGAGAGGTTACAAGATTTTTTTTTTTTAATTTAAAAATTACTGAGGTCTGGACTCTGCAGCCCTCTGCCCTATCAATAAGTCTTCAGGGGATTTGGCATGCAGTTTTAAGATCCTGAGTAATTCAAACAGAACAAATCAGATGTTGATGCCTCACTCATCGTTGTGCTCCAGGGCTGCTTTGGTGGCTTTCACAAGCATCCTGAGCTCCTCCCTGGCCTGGTCCACATCAGCTGTCTTCACGGGACTTCTCTCCAGCCCCTTGAATTGAGCCAGAAGAGTCTGGGCAGGACAAAGCACATGGAGGGGGGACAGACACATAGGAAGGGTGTGAGAATGTTCCTTTTTTGTTATTGCTGTGTATTCAAGATGTCCTTGGCTAAAATATAAATTCTACTTAAAATAGGCAAATTGGGGGGACTCAAGAGACGGAGAGGTGTTGGAAGAGGGATGGCTAGTCATGGGAAGTTCTGGGTAAAATACTTTTTCTTATATTTTAAGATATTATTTTTCTAAGAACTTTTTTTTAGATGATGGAGGGGTTTCATTGTTGGTTTGTGTGGTGGAAGGACCTGCTGAAGAAAGTGCTTCAGTACCTTGTTATCAGTGCCACAATGAATTCTTCTAAATTAGTGAGAAACACTGTTAATTCAGCGACTGTATATGGATACAGCAATACTGTATCCAATGTGATCAACAAACATCTCTCCCTCATTAGGTGATGACTGCCAGGTTTTCAGAAATAGAAAGATCAGAACCCTGTTGGCCTGCAGAGTTTTTCATTCTGCTGTTTGAGATATAAATATATATACTCCTTTTTGACTCAACCTCAGAAAGTAAGGGATAAGGTAGATCCCTAGCTGGAGCCTGTGTTTATTCCTATAAAAACAAAAACAAAAGCTGATTTTCTGCACCATGAAAAGTCTCAGACAAGGAAAATTATGCCCACATATGATTTTAGGTTAAGAAGTAAGTCAGAACTGACCTCCTTGTAATGCTGTGATTTTTTCATATACAGAGTAAGAAACTATGTTTCCTAATTTATAAGACAGAACTTTTAAACTTTATTAAATTCAAAATGTCAAAGTCATCTCACCTACAGTGTTATATTTTCATAGTTATTGTAACTGATAAGGTTTTTCCAGTAGCATATTTTCTTACCAGACAATGGCATGTCTCACCTAACCCTGGAGGGAACACCAGATAAACGGGGAGACTGTGGGCCTGTGCTGCAGTGTGCTGCACGCTGGCCGTTGTGATGCCACCTCCGTGTGTTCCCCCCAGACAACTGTACGGTGCTTCTTGGAAATATAAATAAGGCTAGGTCAGTCTAGAGAAAAGTTCTTCATTAATAATGTCCTGAAGCTTGTGTAAAGCCCTTCACCAATCAAGAGTATTGGCTATTCTAAATTTTGGAGGCACAAATGGGGCTTCTGGGATCCAGAATGTTTCCTACTGTCCACAAGATATGAAGCCACAAATACACAGGCTCTTTTTCAGTTCTTCTTACCTTATACTGTGGTGTGGGCTGGGAGTCCAGAAGTATTGCCACGTAGAGTTCATATTCTTCCTATACCAAAAAAATAAAAATAAAAATAATATATCTCCATTGGAAACATGTTAGGAGATAACAGTAGTTTGTGCATGTGCATGAGTGTGTGTGTGACAGAGAGAGAGAGAGAGAGTTTAGAACATTTCAAAAAAGTATATGAAATGTTCCTGCAAAGTATTAAACCACACACATGCTAAAATGTATAAAATCACACCATCTCTGAAGCATATTTGAGTATTAACTATTGACCACCTCAGAACACTATCATAAGATACTGAGACACACATACAACAGGTGGTCTCCTGCCACGTGGAAGCTCCATGGATCTGAATCCTGCTGACCTGCCAGAGATGAGCCTCTGGTGACGAGGACATCTCTGGAGAAGAGGCCACCATATCAGCATTGTTAGCATTCCTTGTCATTAGAGAAATCAGAGAATAGCATGATCTTCAAGCAGCCTAATTTCAACTCAGATTCCATACAAAGGTTACTTTCATCATGAAATTACAACAAATCTACAATTCCATAAAGATTTATATAAAATGACCCTTGTATAATTATAAAAGTTTGTGTCTCACATATATACAACTTATAAAAGGTCATGATTTGGAAGCTTTAGTGGAAAAATATGGGCTTCAGGAGTGAGGTAACTGAGTGTTTATTCCACATGGCCCTGTCATGACTTTTGTGACGTGGGCAGATTAGTTTAAGTCTTGCGAGTGATGCTGCTCGTCTGTGGAATGGTGACTGACACATGGCAGGGTTTCTGTGAAGCTNTTTTCCAGTAGCATATTTTCTTACCAGACAATGGCATGTCTCACCTAACCCTGGAGGGAACGCCAGATAAACGGGGAGACTGTGGGCCTGTGCTGCGGTGTGCTGCACGCTGGCCATTGTGATGCCACCTCCGTGTGTTCCCCCCAGACAACTGTGCGGTGCTTCTTGGAAATATAAATAAGGCTAGGTCAGTCTAGAGGAAAGTTCTTCATTAATAATATCCTGAAGCTTGTGTAAAGCCCTTCACCAATCAAGAGTATTGGCTATTCTAAATTTTGTAGGCACAAATGGGGCTTCTGGGATCCAGAATGTTTCCTACTGTCCACAAGATATGAAGCCACAAATACATAGGCTCTTTTTCAGTTCTTCTTACCTTATACTGTGGTGTGGGCTGGGAGTCCAGAAGTATTGCCACGTAGAGTTCATATTCTTCCTATACCAAAAAAATAAAAGTAAAAATAATATATCTCCATTGGAAACATGTTAGGAGATAACAGTAGTTTGTGCATGTGCATGAGTGTGTGTGTGACAGAGAGAGAGAGAGTTTAGGACATTTCAAAAAAGTATATGAAATGTTCCTGCAAAGCATTAAACCACACACATGCTAAAATGTATAAAATCACACCATCTCTGAAGCATATTTGAGCATTAACTATTGACCACCTCAGAACACTATCATAAGATACTGAGACACACATACAACAGGTGGTCTCCGGCCACGTGGAAGCCCCATGGATCTGAATCCTGCTGACCTGCCAGAGATGAGCCTCTGGTGACGAGGACATCTCTGGAGAAGAGGCCACCGTATCACCATTGTTAGCATTCCTTGTCATTAGGGAAATCGGAGAATAGCATGATCTTCAAGCAGCCTAATTTCAACTCAGATTCCATACGAAGGTTACTTTCATCATGAAATTACAACAAATCTACAATTCCATAAAGATTTATATAAAATGACCCTTGTATAATTATAAAAGTTTGTGTGTCACATATATACAACTTATAAAAGGTCATGATTTGGAAGCTTTAGTGGAAAAATATGGGCTTCAGGAGTGAGGTAACTGAGTGTTTATTCCACATGGCTCTGTCGTGACTTTTGTGACGTGGGCAGATTAGTTCAAGTCTCGCGAGTGATGCTGCTCGTCTGTGGAATGGTGACTGACACATGGCAGGGTTTCTGTGAAGCTNAGCTTTAGTGGAAAAATATGGGCTTCAGGAGTGAGGTAACTGAGTGTTTATTCCACATGGCTCTGTCGTGACTTTTGTGACGTGGGCAGATTAGTTCAAGTCTCGCGAGTGATGCTGCTCGTCTGTGGAATGGTGACTGACACATGGCAGGGTTTCTGTGAAGCTTGTGACCCTTTGTACGTGCAGAACATCATGTAGAGTTCTTAGCTGTTACGTGGAAAATGTAGGTTTCTATTACCTTAATTTCTTTCAAGAGATCACCAAATACCAAAGAACTATTGCAGATGTCCTCGAAGACTTCTCCAAAGACCTGCAGTCTGTTGAACTGCTGAGGGTCGCACATGCATATCTTCTGGAGCTCCTGGAGGAAAAACAGAATCAGCTTACTTTGGGATATCTTCATTTTCCTTTCAGAACAGAGTTTCCCAGGTTAAGGAATCAGAAAGGGCAAAGCTGCCACCACCCAGGCGCCTGGTCTCAGTGGAGCACGTGGCAAACCAGTGTGATTCTGATTCCCTCCAACCAGTTGCTGAGAATCTTTGATTACCTGGTGCAAAGGTTAATTCTAGATGTCAACTTGGTTAGATGCAGGAATGCTGAGAAAACTGGTAAAGCCATCTTTTCAGGTGTGTCCATGAGGGTGTTTCCAGCAGAGATTAGAATGAGTCTGAGTGGCCTGGGTGGGAAAGACCCTCCCTCAGCGTGGGTGGGAACCGTCCAATCCACTGGGGGTCCAGAAAGAACAAAAGACAGAGGAAAGAGG